AACAGTACTTCACAATTGCACAAGTAGTGGAATTCGTCACCAACTGCAGGAGGGTTACATAGATTACAGAGTATGAGTTCTAGTGGTATATTTTTTACCTGCAGTTTCAACTGGTAAGGCATGGCTTGTGGTGCTGAATCTAAGTAATGCCAACGAGATGTTACTGGGAAGGAGTAAATACGTTTTTTTCAAATTCTGGTAGTTGTTTTGAACGATATTCCAGTAATATCACTGCGAGTCTTCTTAAACAATAATGCAATCAATGACAGTTTTATCAATGACGTTTTCCCTATCAGTTCATCTTTATCAATTCTACAGCTGCATTTATTTCAATTAGCCCAATACCAACGTAATGTTCTCTGGCAACACTTTATGTACTTCAGTGTGTATGTATGTTTGTTTGTTTGTTGGTTAACGCCGCACTCAGCAATATTCCAGCTATATGACGGCGACCTCTGTATAATCGAGTCTGGACCAGACAATCCAGTGATTGACATCATGAGCATCTACGCAATTGGGATACGATGACATGCATAGACCAAGTCAGCGCGCCTGACCACCCGATCCCGTTAGTCGCTCTTACGACAAGCATAGTCGTCTGTGACAGCAAGAATAGGTTTTGGAGACCTTTTCTACCCCGGATCTTCTGTATGTAGCAAATGTAATTCATATTATATGAATTCTGTTTCTAAATTGCTCCCAGTATGACCGCTATCTACTACATGTCGGCTTTCCAGACTTCAATCATCTACCGCTATGTAACAGTTAATAAAGGGAGGTAAGCAGGAAGGTTAAGTAATGTTTGAACGATCTCATTCACATTTACTGGGTAAAATTCACAGGAACTCGTTATTGGTCAGTAAATAAAAATATATACCCCCTATATGTAAGCAGAGGGGTATATATATTTATTTACTGACCAATAACGAGTTCCTGTGGTAAAATTTGTATCGTAATGTACGTTTTTTGCTTGAATCGGAAACTGATAATTAACCCCAACAATGGGAAATATTTCTCATACTATTCTTTATTTTTATTATCTTGAATAAATATTGTTTAAATTTGAATTTTGATATTTTTAGTCATTTTTTAGTTAATGAATGTCCTTCTACAAGAATACTACTTGTTTATTGTTATCCCTTACAGGACCAACTTGAGCGTTACTACGGAGATTGTGCGTACGCATCACCAACCCGACACATGGTTTCTTGTGAACAAAAAACCTGAGTTTTTATCTTACTGGTTTTCCACAAAATACAGTGTAGTTGACAATAAACAATTCCTTAGTAATACAATATTTCTAAAGATTCTAGACATTAAAATATGTAAACATACACAATGGGAAGCAGATGTTTCAAAGAAATAAAGCATGATTGTCATAATGAAAAGTAAGTGGGGATCCCAGGAAGCGGTCGCCGCAACGTTTTGACTGGCACTTCATAAGCGAGGCGCACAGATGCATACCAAATTACCGTTTTTGTAATTTGTTAGTTTGTTTGTTGTTTAACGCCGCACTATTAGTAATATTCCAGCTCAGTAGATTGACGGCGGTCTGTAAATAATCGAGTCTGGACCCGAGTCATGAGCATCGATTTACTCAATTGGGATTTCAGCCGTGTAGGTCGACAGAAAACTGAAGCTATGAACAATTACTGACGGAAACGCCATGTTAATAACACGATTTGTTTGGTTAGTAACCGAAACATTACGATCTCTGAAGTTTTTTCGGGAGAATAAAATATAAACATAATGCGAGAGTTAGTTTTGGTGTTTCTTGTAATGTACATGCAAATAGTTGTATTCCCATACCGTTCTATTTTAGAATTTTGGATATCACTGAGATTTGTCAACTGACAATAGGTCTCCAGTAACCCATGCTTGACTATGCTTGTTGTAAGAGGCGACTGACGGGATCGGTAGTCAGGCTCGCTGACTTGGTTGGTGCATGTCATTGTATTCCAATTGTGTGGATCGATGATGTCAGTCACTGGATCGTCTGGTCCCGACACGATTATTTACAGACCGCCGTCATATAGCTGGAATATTGCTGAATGCGGCGTTCAACAACAACAAAACAAACAAACAGCTGACTCGCTTGGAAGAAGTCTGTCAAAAGTATACTTCAATTTTCATTTACGGTCGGTGATCCATGCCGCACGAATTCGATACCACACAATCATTCATGTTGTGTATGTTTGTTGTTTTACGCCGCATCCAGCATTATCTCTCGCCAGAGAATAGTCAGTCTCAATTATTTGTGGAGATTTCATAGGACGTAAAAGGCAAACGAGTGGTGCACTGAAAATCAGTTATGACACAAGCTGTTGGTGTAAATGGTAAGAATGACCTGCTCTACCGGTAGTACCCGCTACTCACACAATTTGCAAAAAGAATATTAGTTTTGTTGTCTAACGCCGCCCCCAGCAATACTACCATACGACGGGACTGTAAACAATCGAGTCTGGGCAAGACAATCCAGTGATCAGTATCATGAGCAATGATCCACGTCGTTTGGGTACGACGCCAAACTGTCAACCAAATCACCAAACATGACCTCCGATCCATTTAAGTAGAACGCTCACTTTTTGTGTCTTCTGTCCTGTTAATGCTGGAAACATGTTTCAATCGGCATACAACCGTACTCGCTTACACAAAGCAACAATAGAGGTTTCAACAATTTTGTACACAAGGATGTGGTGATCAGTTGCCAATTACCATTGGCGATCAGCTACCTCATACGTGCATGATATACCTTCACTGCAGAGGGGGCACGGGTGGCCCAGTCGTCTAAGGCGCCGCAATTCGCTGTGCAGAGTTGCGTCCCTTGGACACCCCTGAAGCCAGTGATTGTGGGTTCGAGCCCCGGTTCGACCCGATTATGTTTCCAGGTTTGTCAGCACCATACCCGTGCTCGTGGGTTTCACCAAAGTGCATCACTTGGGGCTTTCCTCCCACAATAAGTTGACATAATAGTGATATAACTAGGATACTATTAAAAGCGGCGTTTAACCCAACTCGCACACACAAACTGCAGAATGTTGTTTATCGCCGCATACTAACAGCAAGTAATAATCTTGGACGCGACGTTAAACCCAATTTCACCTCACCTTATGTAGAACTAGGGCTATCGAAACATTTCAGACACCTACAGTGGTTTCCACATGACCACTGGATGGTGTCGATATCGGAACGGCGTATTTTACCGCCGCTTCTGTCAGTTGTGATTTGTTTCTTCACGACACCAAGACTCGATACACAGGTGTGTTATTCCACGTCATGCTGTTGCACAAGTCGGACAGGTCACAGTGACACTGGTTCGGGGAGGAAAGGGTGAACTGTACTCTTATTACAAACACTGTAATAGTTCAACACAGTGTTAAACTTAAAGCAATCCAAGGCCAAAACACTTCTGCTTTTCTTCTCTTGTCTGCTCCCGAGTGAGAGCTTTTCTTCCCTGACTTTGAAACACGCTAAGGGCGGGCAGTTAAAACTACATGAAAATTATATGAATGGACCACTGAAAATCAGTGATGACACCAGGTGTTCGCGAAAAGGGTAAGCATGTCCTACCATACTGGCAGCACCAGCCATAATGATAATGATTTTTTTATATAAAAACTGTATTTTTAACTTGACGCCGCACAGCAGAACTCCTGACATGCAACGGCGGCCTTTTAACAACCCAGAAAATCAAATGATCTTTGATCCGAAAATACAGCGACTCGGCAGTAAATTTACTGATTTTGCTGAAATTAATAAAAACGATAATTACGGTCATTTTGTGTGTACAAATTTAAGAAATATATATTGTAAAATATCGGCCCAAGCAGGTTTTTACCTTTCCAATGTTACGTCATTAACGTGTAAAAATAAATTATATGTCAAAACGTATTTTAGCAAACTGTAGTGGTTGTGAGAGAGTAGAGCACACCGTATTGTGTTGTCTGAACCACTGCATGCTCATAGGCTTCATGAAGTGAAAACATATCTGACAATATCTTGTTCACAATGCAATGTTTGAAGACACAAAACCAAAGAAACAGACATCTATAGTTCACAAACAGAGAACTCAGTATTAAACACAAACAAACACTGGTTAAGGCACTTCAACAGATAATCACACAATGGCTTGTTTATTATTTTTTTTAAATTGGGTACATGTTTTCATTTTGTCAAGAAATGTGACTGCTTATTGAATGAACAATATATCATTGTCTTTTCCTTGACAAGACGACAGTGAGCTCTTACACGGTGTCCTGGGGATGTAATTGCCCCGAGAGTATCAGTGTCCGTTTTCAGAGTACAACTTTGAGAATATGGGTGTGCAGGTTAGAAGAGACTATCAGTTATTTTCAATGCTTTGAAAGCCTAATGTTGGAGACAAGTTTATCCCGCGACCAGGATCCTGTTATGACTTAGGCCCGCAACTATGTACATGGAAGTGATACCCTCGGGTAGTCAGACTTATGTCTCCTCGTACCTGGCACAATTGGTGATGATATTCTCCACGTGATATTGGGCGGTGGGATAGCCTAGTAGTTAAAGCGTTAGCGCATCATATTGAAGACCCGTGTTCGATTCCTTATGGGTGCAATATGTGAAGCCCATTTTTATGTCGCCCGCCTTGATTTTGCTAGAATATTATTAAAAGCGGCATAAAAGCATACTCAGGCACTCACCGCATTGAATACACGTCATAGTTATTTTGCAATAATGAATAATATATAATGATCAATGGTAGTGACAGATAAAAGAATATGACCATTCAAATTGTTCACAAGAAGAACAATGCACACACACAACACACACACACGCACACACACGCACGCACACACACACACACACACACACACACACACAAATATTGGCTTCAAGTGAATCATTTATTGTTACCTTGATTGTTTTGTTTGTTTGTCTGACTGTTTGTTGTTTTACACCGCACTCAGCAATATTCCAGGTAATGACAGCGGTCTGTAAGGAATTGAATCTCGACCAGACAATCCTGTGATTGATAACATGAGCATCGATCTACCTAACTGGGATACGATGACATGCATCAACAAGCCAGCGAGTCTGAACACCCGATCCCGTTAGTCGCTTCTCACGACAAGCAATCGCCTCTAACAAGATGGCTGACTGAAGACCGATTCTAATGGGGGAGGAATTGTTACCTAACACAGTGTTCCTAAGCTAAGTTCTGTTATTGCGACTAAATGCCCGAATGGCAACAAGACCTTTGCTATACATTCTGATCAGCGGGTCACTGTATGTGTCCACTAGGAACTTATCGTTGGTAAACCTTTCCGCCATTGCGTCATCCTGCAGCGCTCTGTAATGGTGAACATACGCGACGACAGGAGGAACCTCTATCACGCTGTAGTTGGCAACGTCGGGCCAGGGTCGACCCACGTGGTGTATCCCCCTCTGAAATACCTTATATGGATCAACCATCACTTTATTCCTTCCCATATTTGGAAATCGTTCATGTCTCTCCGTAGCACGTAACACTGTCAAGCAACGGTTGCCCTGGTTACAAGCTGGTAAATTATTAATTTGGAAATATGCGTTTCTAAATGAGAGCCCACATATATTTGGTTTGAACATGGTCGTCAAATCATGCCAAGATCTCGCGGAAATGTCACGTGGTACGAGAAACTCGTCTAGATCGTTAAACATAAGATAATTAACCGCCGACATGTGTCGGTATAGGCAATCCGTAAGAGCCACGCTCTGTCCAAGATACCATATTGCCTTCCATGAAACTGGGAGATCCCACGGAATGACAGAAGCCAGCCCAACAGACTGGTAGTACTTCAGTGCTAATTGCACATCCGGCGTAATACCAAAATCATAAAAAACAAAATGGCGCACGCCAAGAAGACGACTCAGCTCAACAAATTGAACAATAGAAAATCTGGTTAACCTTCCATATAAAGGCGGGACACAAACAGCAAAATCAGTCTTCTCTTCCGGTTGCGACTTGTTGTGAGTATGGACATCTCAACACTATTGACAGTGTCCTTCCGAGATAAGCCGACGTAGACAAAACATGGTTGTCTCCCTTGAATCTCCGGCAGAGGGCAGGACAAAATCCACCCCCAAAACGCACGAAGATGGTTCTCACACAGCTCATATCGCTCAGCCTCAACAGAAATCAGCCTGTGAATCTTGCTACCATCCTCCGTCATCACGGGAACCTTCAAGTTGTAGTGGCAATGTAGACTCGTATAGGCCATATTTTTGTTGATAATTCCTATGATACGAACACGTGGCGTTTCAGCTCTATAATCTGCATAGGCTGAGAAAAGGAAGATCAGAGATGTAAGTTTAGCGTGAACATATCGGAGATTAACGGCATACCTTGGATCCTGCACACAGTGTTCAGTCAGAGGGTCAGACACCGTCCTCTTTGGTATACGCGGTGTCTTCAGATGTCTCACAGGTTCCTGCTTTTTGAAAATGGTATTCTCTCGTTGACTTTCTTCTGATAGTTTTAGTATCTTGGGAACTCTTAAAAAAACTGTAGAACATGATTGAACATACAAAATATGTCACCACACCGATAGCGATGTATCGCTGCAACTTCGCCACCCTCATGATGAAGGGTTATGTTCAATGACAGCTGGTTTTCGCCTCAGTCAATATTCCTCATTTTGTCACAGACCTGACCTTGTGTCAAGTATTTATACCTCCAACTGGTTACTGTTTCAACGTTGCAGCATTACACCGCAGAGTTAGGTCGTTCTCTGGGTTCTCTGGCTCTTTCAAGAAGCACGCAATGACACCAAGTAGCATAAAATGGTCGTCCTTGTCCCAGACAATCGGGTCATGCATATTGGCACCAGCTGTTACTATCATTCCAGAAATTAATTCCACATATACAGTTATTGAAATTCTAGTAGTTCCCAACTTCAGCAACACATGTTGAAGCTTTACCCTAGATAAGCGTTATATTCCTTCTTCATGAGTTCTTTGTCTTACTCTGTTGCTTGTCGTCAGTTCGGTGGCTCCCTGGATGCTTCACCTGTCTATGAAGATAACGATGATGAGGATGGCTGTAGATGCACTGGGGGATTGTACTGTTAGGCTACATACAAGGACGTTTCACCACCACAGTCACGAGAAATGTGACAATACAGTTGCTTCTTAGAAGTGGATCCAAAGCTTAACTCTTCTGTCAATATCTGTCTAACATCATGTCCACTCTGACACACTAATACCATTTACATTCACCAGGGTTTTACATACACCAGGTTGTGATGATATCACACGAAGACTAGCGTCTGACAGACATCACACGAAGGCTGGAGTCCGAAACACACAACATGAAGACTTGCTTCTGGCAGATATCACATGAAGACTTGCTTCAGGCAGATATCACATGAAGAATTGCTTCTGGCAGACATCACATGAAGACTTGCTTCTGACAGACATCACATGAAGACTTGCTTCTGACACTCATCACATGAAGACTTGCTTCTGACAGATATCACATAAAGACTTGCTTCTGGCAGACATCACAAAGAGACTTGATTCTGACAGACATCACATGAAGACTTGCTTCTGACATACATCACAAAGAGACTTGTTTCTGACAGACATCACATGAAGACTTGCTTCTGACAGACATCACATGAAGACTTGCTTCTGGCAGACATCACATGAAGACTTGCTTCTGACAGATATCACATGAAGACTTGCTTCTGACAGACATCACATGGAGACCTGCTTCTGAGAGACATCACATGAAGGCTTGCTTCTGATAGACATCACATGGAGACTTGCTTCTGACAGATATCACATGAAGACTTGCTTCTGACAGATATCAGATGAAGACTTGCTTCTGACAGATATCACATGAAGACTTGCTTCTGACAGACATCACATGAAGACTTCCTTCTGACAGACATCACATGAAGACTTGCTTCTGGCAGACATCACATGGAAACTTGCTTCTGACAGATATCACATGAAGACTTGCTTCTGACAGACATCACATGGAAACTTGCTTTTGACAGATATCACATGAAGAATTGCTTCTAGCAGACATCACATGAAGACTTGCTTCTGGCAGACATCACTTGAAGGCTTGCTCCTGACAGACATCACATGGAGACTTGCATCTGACAGATATCACATGAAGACTTGCTTCTGACAGACATCACATGGAAACCTGCTTCTGACAGACATCACATGGAGACTTGCTTCTGGCAGACATCACATGGAGACTTGCTTCTGACAGATATCACATGAAGACTTGCTTCTGACAGACATCACATGGAGACTTGCTTCTGACAGACATCACATGAAGACTTGCTTCTAGCAGACATCACATGAAGACTTGCTTCTGGCAGACATCACTTGAAGACATGCTTCTGACAGACATCACATGGAGACTTGCTTCTGACAGATATCACATGGAGACTTGCTTCTGGCAGACATCACGTGGAGACTTTCTTCTGACAGACATCACATTGAGACTTGCTTCTGGCAGACATCACGTGGAGACTTGCTTCTGACAGATATCACATGAAGACTTGCTTCTGACAGACATCACATGGAGACTTGCTTCTGACAGACATCACATGAAGACTTGCTTCTGACAGACATCACATGGAGACTTGCTTCTGGCAGACATCACATGGAGACTTGCTTCTGACAGACATCACATGAAGACCTGCTTCTGACAGACATCACATGGAGACTTGCTTCTGACAGATATCACATGAAGACTTACTTCTGACAGACATCACATGGAAACTTGCTTTTGACAGATATCACATGAAGAATTGCTTCTAGCAGACATCACATGAAGACTTGCTTCTGGCAGACATCACTTGAAGACTTGCTTCTGACAGACATCACATGGAGACTTGCTTCTGACAGATATCACATGAAGACTTGCTTCTGACAGACATCATATGGAGACCTGCTTCTGACAGACATCACATGAAGACTTGTTTCTGACAGACATCACATGGAGACTTGCTTCTGGCAGACATCACGTGGAGACTTTCTTCTGACAGACATCACATGGAGACTTGCTTCTGGCAGACATCACGTGGAGACTTGCTTCTGACAGACCTCACATGGAGACTTGCTTCTGACAGACATCACATGAAGACTTGCTTCTGACAGACATCACATGGAGACTTGCTTCTGGCAGACATCACATGGAGACTTGCTTCTGACAGATATCACATGAAGACCTGCTTCTGACAGACATCACATGAAGACTTGCTTCTGACAGACATCACATGGAGACTTGCTTCTGGCAGATATCACATGAAGACTTGCTTCTGGCAGACATTACATGAAGACTTGCTTCTGGCAGACATCATATGAAGACTTGCTCCTGACAGTTATCACATGAAGACTTACTTCTGACAGACATCACATGAAGACTTGCTTCTGACAGATATCACATGAAGACTTGCTCCTGACAGTTATCACATGAAGACTTGCTTCTGGCAAACATCACATGAAGCCTTGCTTCTGACAGATATCACATGAAGACTTGCTTCTGACAGATATCACATGAAATATATATTGTAAAATATCGGCCCAAGCAGGTTTTTACCTTTCCAATGTTACGTCATAAACGTGTAAAAATAAATTATATGTCAAAACGTACTTTAGCAAACTGTAGTGGTTGTGAGAGAGTAGAGCACACCGTATTGTGTTGTCTGAACCACTGCATGCTCATAGGCTTCATGAAGTGAAAACATATCTGACAATATCTTGTTCACAATGCAATGTTTGAAGACACAAAATCAAAGAAACAGACATCTATAGTTATTACTTGCCCGTGAAGAGATCACCCGTTTAATAAACATACAGCTTTATTACACATTGTGTAATACCCAAACGCGTGCTTATGTACTCTCGGAACACGTTTCACGAACAAATATTGAAAGCTCTCAACATCCTTTGGCGTATTCAACGACATTGCGTGTGGAGTTGATAGATCACTGAGAGGAGCTTATGCACACGCGATGACCCCAGCAACCTTGTTGCTAGGCTGACGTCACATGGCATTGTTTCGCCGATGGATCTTGCAACAAAATTCCACAAATTACGTCATCGGGTATTGTGACGTTACTGAAAACTTTGAGATGCAAGGCCCGTTCCACAAGGCTATCGTATTGTAGCGCAACGACAGTCGTTAGTCTAAGTTAAAATATGTGAGATGCGATAGCCTTAGCCCTACGATAATTTTGTGAATTCTAAAGGTGGACCGTTGTATGGTATGAAATTCATACGTTTCAACTTTTGACGTTTTTGAAGTATTATTCTGTTAAACTCACTTGGACTATGTCGTGGATCGTGTCAGCCTATTCATACTCAACAGTATAATTAAAAAACGTTATAAATGGCAAGTAATAAATAAAATACTAAACTCGCTCCCGTGTAAAACCAATTTTATGAAACTCGTGAATAGTTGTGGTATCTGACTCGCTTTCGCTCGTCAGATACCACAACTATTCACTCGTTTCATAAAATTGGTATCACACGGGAGCTCGTTTAGTATTCTATATTTCACAAACAGAGAACTCAGTATTAAACACAAACAAACACTGGTTAAGGCACTTCAACAGATAATCACACAATGGCTTGTTTATTATTTTTTTTAAATTGGGTACATGTTTTCATTTTGTCAAGAAATGTGACTGCTTATTGAATGAACAATATATCATTGTCTTTTCCTTGACAAGACGACAGTGAGCTCTTACACGGTGTCCTGGGGATCTAATTGCCCCGAGAGTATCAATGTCCGTTTTCTGAGTACAACTTTGAGAATATGGGTGTGCAGGTTAGAAGAGACTATCAGTTATTTTCAATGCTTTGAAAGCCTAATGTTGGAGACAAGTTTATCCCGCGACCAGGATCCTGTTATGACTTAGGCCCGCAACTATGTACAAGGAAGTGATACCCTCGGGTAGTCAGACTTATGTCTCCTCGTACCTGGCACAATTGGTGATGATATTCTCCACGTGATATTGGGCGGTGGGATAGCCTAGTAGTTAAAGCGTTAGCGCATCATATTGAAGACCCGTGTTCGATTCCATATGGGTGCAATATGTGAAGCCCATTTTTATGTCGCCCGCCTTGATTTTGCTAGAATATTATTAAAAGCGGCATAAAAGCATACTCAGGCACTCACCGCATTGAATACACGTCATAGTTATTTTGCAATAATGAATAATATATAATGATCAATGGCAGTGACAGATAAAGGAATATGACCATTCAAATTGTTCACAAGAAGAACAATGCACACACACAACACACACACACGCACACACACGCACGCACACACACACACACACACACACACACACACACACACACACACACACACACACACACACACACACAAATATTGGCTTCAAGTCAATCATTTATTGTTACCTTGATTGTTTTGTTTGTTTGTCTGACTGTTTGTTGTTTTACACCGCACTCAGCAATATTCCGGGTAATGACAGCGGTCTGTAAGGAATTGAATCTCGACCAGACAATCCTGTGATTGATAACATGAGCATCGATCTACCTAACTGGGATACGATGACATGCATCAACAAGCCAGCGAGTCTGAACACCCGATCCCGTTAGTCGCTTCTCACGACAAGCAATCGCCTCTAACAAGATGGCTGACTGAAGACCGATTCTAATAGGGGAGGAATTGTTACCTAACACAGTGTTCCTAAGCTAAGTTCTGTTATTGCGACTAAATGCCCGAATGGCAACAAGAGCTTTGCTATACATTATGATCAGCGGGTCACTGTATGTGTCCACTAGGAACTTATCGTTGGTAAACCTTTCCGCCATTGCGTCATCCTGCAGCGCTCTGTAATGGTGAACATACGCGACGACAGGAGGAACCTCTATCACGCTGTAGTTGGCAACGTCGGGCCAGGGTCGACCCACGTGGTGTATCCCCCTCTGAAATACCTTATATGGATCAACCATCACTTTATTCCTTCCCATATTTGGAAATCGTTCATGTCTCTCCATAGCACGTAACACTGTCAAGCAACGGTTGCCCTGGTTACAAGCTGGTAAATTATTAATTTGGAAATATGCGTTTCACATATATTTGGTTTCAACATGGTCGTCAAATCATGCCAAGATCTCGCGGAAATGTCACGTGGTACGAGAAACTCGTATAGATCGTTAAACATAAGATAATTAACCGCCGACATGTGTCGGTATAGGCAATCCGTAAGAGCCACGCTCTGTCCAAGATACGATATTGCCCTCCATGAAACTGGGAGATCCCACGGAATGACAGAAGCCAGCCCAACAGACTGGTAGTATTTCAGTGCTAATTGCACATCTGGCGTAATACCAAAATCATAAAAAACAAAATGGCGCGCGCCAAGAAGACGACTCAGCTCAACAAATTGAACAATAGAAAATCTGGTTAACCTTCCATATAAAGGCGGGACACAAACAGCAAAATCAGTCTTCTCTTCCGGTTGCGACTTTTTTGTTGTGAGTATGGACATCTCAACACTATTGACAGTGTCCTTCCGAGATAAGCCGACGTAGACAAAACATGGTTGTCTCCCTTGAATCTCCAGCAGAGGGCAGGACAAAATCCACCCCCAAAACGCACGAAGATGGTTCTCACACAGCTCATATCGCTCAGCCTCAACGGAAATCAGCTCGTGAATCTTGCTACCATCCTCCGTCATCACGGGAACCTTGTAGTGGCAATATAGACTCGTATAGGCCATATTTTTGTTGATAATTCCTATGATACGAACACGTGGCGTTTCAGCTCTATAATCTGCATAGGCTGAGAAAAGGAAGATCAGAGATGTAAGTTTAGCGTGAACATATCGGAGATTAACGGCATACCTTGGATCCTGCACACAGTGTTGAGTCAGAGGGTCAGACACCGTCCTCTTTGGTATACGCGGTGTCTTCAGATGTCTCACAGGTTCCTGCTTTTTGAAAATGGTATTCTCTCGTTGACTTTCTTCTGATAGTTTTAGTATCTTGGGAACTCTTAAAAAAACTGTAGAACATGATTGAACTTACAAAATATGTCACCACACCGATAGCGATGTATCGCTGCAACTTCGCCACCCTCATGATGAAGGGTTATGTTCAATGACAGCTGGTTTTCGCCTCAGTCAATATTCCTCATTTTGTCACAGACCTGACCTTGTGTCAAGTATTTATACCTCCAACTGGTTACTGTTTCAACGTTGCAGCATTACACCGCAGAGTTAGGTCGTTCTCTGGGTTCTCTGGCTCTTTCAAGAAGCACGCAATGACACCAAGTAGCATAAAATGGTCGTCCTTGTCCCAGACAATCGGGTCATGCATATTGGCACCAGCTGTTACTATCATTCCAGAAATTAATTCCACATATACAGTTATTGAAATTCTAGTAGTTCCCAACTTCAGCAACACATGTTGAAGCTTTACCCTAGATAAGCGTTATATTCCTTCTTCATGAGTTCTTTGTCTTACTCTGTTGCTTGTCGTCAGTTCGGTGGCTCCCTGGATGCTTCACCTGTCTATGAAGATAACGATGATGAGGATGGCTGTAGATGCACTGGGGGATTGTACTGTTAGGCTACATACAAGGACGTTTCACCACCACAGTCACGAGAAATGTGACAATACAGTTGCTTCTTAGAAGTGGATCCAAAGCTTAACTCTTCTGTCAATATCTGTCTAACATCATGTCCACTCTGACACACTAATACCATTTACATTCACCAGGGTTTTACATACACCAGGTTGTGATGATATCACACGAAGACTAGCGTCTGACAGACATCACACGAAGGCTGGAGTCCGAAACACACAACATGAAGACTTGCTTCTGGCAGATATCACATGAAGACTTGCTTCAGGCAGATATCACATGAAGAATTGCTTCTGGCAGACATCACATGAAGACTTGCTTCTGACAGACATCACATGAAGACTTGCTTCTGACACTCATCACATGAAGACTTGCTTCTGACAGATATCACATAAAGACTTGCTTCTGGCAGACATCACAAAGAGACTTGATTCTGACAGACATCACATGAAGACTTGCTTCTGACATACATCACAAAGAGACTTGTTTCTGACAGACATCACATGAAGACTTGCTTCTGACAGACATCACATGAAGACTTGCTTCTGGCAGACATCACATGAAGACTTGCTTCTGACAGATATCACATGAAGACTTGCTTCTGAGAGACATCACATGAAGGCTTGCTTCTGACAGATATCACATGAAGACTTGCTTCTGACAGATATCAGATGAAGACTTGCTTCTGACAGATATCACATGAAGACTTGCTTCTGACAGACATCACATGAAGACTTCCTTCTGACAGACATCACATGAAGACTTGCTTCTGGCAGACATCACATGGAAACTTGCTTCTGACAGATATCACATGAAGACTTGCTTCTGACAGACATCACATGGAAACTTGCTTTTGACAGATATCACATGAAGAATTGCTTCTAGCAGACATCACATGAAGACTTGCTTCTGGCAGACATCACTTGAAGGCTTGCTTCTGACAGATATCACATGAAGACTTGCTTCTGACAGACATCACATGAAGACTTGCTTCTGACAGACATCACATGAAGACTTGCTTCTGACAGATATCACATGAACACTTGCTTTAAAAGACATCACATGAAGACTTGCTTCTGACAGATATCTCATGAAAACTTGCTTCTGACAGATATCACATGAAGACTTGCTTCTGACAGACATTACATGAAGACTTGCTTCTGGCAGATATCACATGAAGACTTGCTTCTGACAGATATCACATGAAGACTTGCTTCTGACAGACATCACATGAAGACTTGCTTCTGACAGACATCACATGAAGACTTGCTTCTGGCAGACATCACATGAAGACTTGCTTCTGACAGATATCACATGAAGACTTGCTTCTGACAGATATCGGATGAAGACTTACTTCTGACAGATATCACATGAAGACTTGCTTCTGGCAGACATCACATGAAAAATTGCATCTGGCAGACATCACATGAACACTTGCTTTAAAAGACATCACATGAAGACTTGCTTCTGACAGATATCTCATGAAGACTTGCTTCTGACAGATATCACATGAAGACTTGCTTCTGACAGACATTACATGAAGACTTGCTTCTGGCAGACATCACATGAAGACTTGCTCCTGACAGTTATCACACGAAGACTTACTTCTGACAGACATCACATGAAGACTTGCTTCTGACAGATATCACATGAAGACTTGCTTCTGGCAGACATCACATGAAGACTTGCTTCTGGCAGACATCACATGAAGACTTGCTCCTGACAGTTATCACATGAAGACTTGCTTCTGGCAGACATCACATGAAGCCTTGCTTCTGACAGATATCACATGAAGACTTGCTTCTGAGAGATATCACATGAAGACTTGCTTCTGACAGACATCACATGGAGACTTGCTTCTGACAGATATCACATGAAGACTTGCTTCTGACAGATATCACATGGAGACTTGCTTCTGGCAGATATCACGTGGAGACTTGCTTCTGACAGACATCACATGGAGACCTGCTTCTGACAGACATCACATGAAGACTTTCTTCTGACAGACATCACATGGAGACTTGCTTCTGGCAGACATCACGTGGAGACTTGCTTCTGACAGACATCACATGAAGACTTGCTTCTGACAGACATCACATGGAGACTTGCTTCTGGCAGACATCACGTGGAGACTTGCTTCTGACAGACATCACATGAAGACTTGCTTCTGGCAGACATCACGTGGAGACTTGCTTCTGACAGATATCACATGAAGACTTGCTTCTGACAGATATCACATGAAGACTTGCTTCTGACAGACATCACATGAAGACTTGCTTCTGACAGATATCACATGAAGACTTGCTTCTGGCAGACATCACTCGAAGATTAGAGTCGGAAAAGCACCACATGAAGACACCACATGGCAGAGAAAACATGGAGACTAAAGTCAGACAAACATCATATGATGCTGCCGTAATTCTCAATTGTCCAAGAGAGTTGCTGCACGTGCTACATAAATGTCTCACGTGACACTTAAACGTTGAACACGACAGTGAAACACGACCTATACCCTGCACTCAGTACATCGAAAGCTTCATCGACTGTTGGTTTTATTAAATGTAATTATAAACACAACTATTGATTTTCCGTAAGGTTAGACACTGAAACGCATGTCGACCTAGGTTTAGGAGGCAGGTATTGAACAACCTGATACAACGGCGTCACAGGTGCCAGCTAGGTGGGACACCACGCCCACATCGTAGCTCAGATCGAACAGAAATTGACAGCGGCCTGAAATGAATATGTTTATGAGGCAACACGTGTATTGCAAAATGGAAAAAAGAATATCAGACGAGGACTTATTATGTACATAGCAATACGTTTATTGAGTGCATATATGGTGCATATTGAGTTCGTGTGACATCGCGGCCCTCATTGATCATAATAATCAATACACGATGTACAGAGCTACGCATAAATCGAAGAGTGATAACGTACATCTGTTATAACGAAAATAACTTTTACATGGTTACATTAGATTGCCCTCTGTATGAACATCTTAAAGATGAATTAATTTTCCACTTTACTGCAATGATTCAAAATTTCGCTGAGCGCCAGGATGCAGAAACAGTTGTTTTTTTGGTCAAGACCATCGTCTATGGGTGTTAAAACCTGTCATGTCATTTTAAAACGTAGAAAATCCGTATTTTATAGTACTAACTAAATGTTATTTTATATATGTATAAGTATGTTAATAATTGTATGTACAACTTTTATAATCTCTCATAACTCAGAAAAGGGTGACTCACAACATGACTTTATTGCTGTGTTTATATATGTTTATGTAATGAGGTGAGACTGAAATATATCATGTGTCCATCTGACGCGGGGTTGTAAATAAAATGACTTAGTACATAACGGTAAGGGGGTACGGTGGCCCAGATTCGCTGTGCAGAGTTGCATCCCTTGGGCACGCCAGAAACCTATGATTGTGGGTTCGAATCCCGGTTCGCCTCGATTGTGTTTCTAGGTTTGTCAGCACCATACCCGTGCTCGTGGGTTTCACCGAAGTGGTAAACGTCTGAGGCCCTGCATCACTTGGGGCTTTCCTCCCACATTAAGCTGACACGCCGCGATATAACTGTAATAATGTTAAAAGAGGCGTTAAACCCAACTCACTCACTCATTCATAACCGTAAGCCGCGTGGTCAGGCTCGCTGGCTTAGTTGATGCATTTCGATGCGTGGATCGATGCTCATGATGTCAATCACTGGATAGTCTGGTGCAGACTCGATTATTTACAGACCGCCGTCATAAAGCTGGAAAATTGCTGAGTGTAGCTTTAAACAACAAACAAACATAGCTGTTCTTTGTCATGTCCTGAGTAAGTGTCTGCTGTTTAACACCACTAAAAGAAAATGCCACTGTATACCAGTGATCTTATTAAGTTACCACATCTAGATCAACCAATCACCAATAAACAGAACAATGAGCGGCCATTTTATTAAAAGGTTTTGTCGAGATTTATTGCTTCTGCTTCTGACAGACATCACATGAAGACTTGCTTCTGACAGATATCACATGAAGACTTCCTTCTGACATACATCACATGAAGACTTGCTTCTGACAGACATCACATGAAGACTTGCTTCTGACAGACATCACATGAAGACTTGCTTCTGACAGACATCACATGAAGACTTGCTTCTGACAGATATCACATCAAGACTTGCTTCTGACAGATATCACGTGAAGACTTGCTTCTGGCAGACATCACATGAAGACTTGCTTCTGGCAGTTATTACATGAAGACTTGCTCCTGACAGATATCGCATGAAGACTTGCTTCTGACAGACATCACATGAAGACTTGCTTCTGACATATATCACATGAAGACTTGCTTCTGACAGGCTTCACATGGAGACTTGCTTCTGACAGATATCACATGAAGACTTGCTTCTGGCAGACATCACATGAAGACTTTCTTCTGACAGACATCACATGGAGACTTGCTTCTGAGAGATATCGGATGAAGACTTGCTTCTGACAGACATCACATGAAGACTTGCTTCTGACAGATATCACATGAAGACTTGCTTCTGACAGACATCACATGAAGACTTGCTTCTGACAGATATCACATGAAGACTTCCTTCTGGCAGACATCACTTGAAGACTTGCTTCTGACAGACATCACATGGAGACTTGCTTCTGACAGACATCACGTGAAGACTTGCTTCTGACAGATATGACATGAAGACTTTCTTCTGACAGACATCACATGAAGACTTGCTTCTGGCAGATATCACGTGGAGACTTGCCTCTGACAGATATCACATGAAGACTTGCTTCTGACAGACATCACATGGAGACTTGCTTCTGACAGATATCACATGAAGACTTGCTTCTGACAGATATCACTTGAAGACTTGCTTCTGACAGACATTACATGAAGACTTGCTTCTGACAGATATCACATGAAGACTTGCTTCTGACAGACATCACATGGAGACTTGCTTCTGACAGATATCACATGAAGACTTGCTTCTGGCAGACATCACGTGAAGACTTGCTTCTGACAGATATCACATGAAGACTTGCTTCTGACAGATATCACATGAAGACTTGCTTCTGGCAGACATCACTCGAAGATTAGAGTCGGAAAAACGCCACATGAAGACACCACATGGCAGACAACACATGGAGACTAAAGTCAGACAAACATCATATGATGCTGCCGTAATTCTCAATTGTCCAAGAGAGTTGCTGCACGTGCTACATAAATGTCTCTCGCGACACTTACACGTCGAACACGACAGTGAAACACGACCTATACCCTGCATTCAGTACATCGAAAGCTTCATCGACTGTTGGTTTTATTAAATGTAATTATAAACACAACTATTGATTTTCCGTAAGGTTAGACACTGAAACGCATGTCGACCTAGGTTTAGGAGGCAGGTATTGAACAACCTGATACAACGGCGTCACAGGTGCCCGCTAGGTGGGACACCACGCCCACATCGTAGCTCAGATCGAACAGAAATTGACAGCGGCCTGAAATGAATATGTTTATGAGGCAACACGTGTATTGCAAAATGGAAAAAAGAATATCAGACGAGGACTTATTATGTACATAGCAATACGTTTATTGAATGCATATGTAGTGCATGTCGAGTTCGTGTGACATCGCGGCCCTCATTGATCATAATAATCAATACATGATGTACAGAGCTACGCATAAATCGAAGAGTGATAACGTACATCTGTTATAACGAATATAACTTTTACATGGTTACATTAGATTGCCCT